TTCAATACCTGTTTGGAACAACGGTAATGCCGAAATTGATATCGAAACCGGGAAAAAATAAATACCTATCGGCGTTCAAAACAGAAATTGAAAAAAGTAGTTTTGAAGATTCAATAAAAATGGCCAAATTAATCTATAATTAAACTGCAGAATACGCACTTATAGAGTGGTATTAATTTATTTTATACATTTTTTTTTTAATTTTATGCAAGTATTTACGTATCGMCAGTTATTTTATAAATACATTTACATATTTTGTGATATCATTCTTTCGTCAGAGCTATATTTAAAAAGAAAAATACCATAGTTGCCTTTTTAGAGGTGATTTTTATTCAYGATTCAATTACTATAAAGTTTACCAAGAACAAATTATTATAAATGTATAAATTATAATCAAGTCAACGGCAATCGGACAATTATTAAACTTTATCTGTATCAGTGAAATATTACTGAATGTCTGAATCACGTTCTGATAACGTGTGGTGTATGCACTTCTGTAACACGCGTATTGGGACATTGACCTTGTTCTTGGTAGTTGGTGATAAACGTATCATAATATTATATTGTAAAAAGTATAATATAAATGAAATGAGGACGGCGCAACATCGCAGTGTCGGGCGTCAGTAATTTAGTGCAGGTTGTCAGCAAGACTCCAGTAGCCTAGGCTGCACGATGAGGCACAAAAATTGTACCATAAAAGTTCATAAAATATGTAAATCAACTTAAGACGACGTCTTATCCTCAGTGGCGTATTTAGGGGTTCTCTTGGGGGGTTCAAACCGTCCCCCCCCCAAAAAAAATGTATGGTTGGTACGGGCATACCTAACTAATTAGAATTTAAGAGGGAGTGTTGAAATATTATTATTTATTTTTTTTGTAACAATTTTTAATAAATCAATGAACATATTTTTACCGCTATGGTGCTATATAATATGTATATGGTCTGAGGACTGATARTTTAGTAAAAAATTACCCCCTTTCAAAAAAAAATGAGCAGTGAAAACGTCACGATTAACCAGAATAACTATGAAATATTGCACAATAATCATGGTCTATTCAATAAGCATGAATTGTGAATTATAAATAACACTGTTATTTAAACAAATAATGTTGAATAATTATTTGAACAGTCTTAATAAAACAATGTTGATAATTAATATATTAAGATACAATTAGTTAAGATTACCTACTAATAAAATGTACTTAATACTTATCTACACACTTTACGAGCATGAAGTAGGTATGTCTACGGACTACTGAATGTCAGAATGTCACAAGAAATTTACAATTGTGTATTATTGGTAGGTAATGGCCAATAGGTATATCTATCTATAAATTGTTATTGGCATTTTGTACCTAAATAAATATAAATATTTGTAGGAATGACCAACTCTATATTTTAAAAACTAAAAGTAGTTATTAGTTATATTAATTGTTAGTTGAACACGAACTTCTTTTAGTAAATAATAATAATATTGATATACCTACTTAAAAAAAAAAATCTATTTAGAATTCTTAATTATCTATATCGTAAAAGCTAGGAAATTATTTTGTCTTTTGTCTTTATTTCTTGTTTTCTTTTTTTAATTATAACTTATAAGGCATAGGCGACCGCAGAAATTTTTCTAGGGGGGGGGGAGGGCAATGTTAGGATTTGGGGATAAATATTATAATTTTACTAGGTGTTTTAAAATAATAACTTTTTTTATTATACTCGTATACAATATATTATATTTTATTATATTACAACTTATTTTATACTTTAAATTTGTTGTTTAGTAGGTATATAGTAATTTATCTTAAAATATTCAATTAAAAAAATATTTTGAAAAAGCCAGTGGGGCAAATGCCCCAGCTGCCCCTCCCTGCGGGCGCCTATGTTATAAGGTTAAGGCTTCTTTATTTCTATTTTTGTAAAATTATTCAGATATGTTGGTAAGAGAAAATAATTGTCTACGTTCAGCACAGAATAATATAATATTATACAGCAGGTAGATAAACCAACGATCCAGGGCCGGATTAAAGGGGGGGGGCAGAGGGGGCATCTGCCTCCGGGCGCAAGATTTTAAAGGCGCAAAGTTTTGAAATATTGTGGGTACCATTTAGAGTGAAAAAACTATTAGCGATTACGACAGTGTACACGGCGCGCAAACTCACATACGCGTTTTCACGAATTTACCGATATCTGAATTAC